TTTTTGAACTCAGAGGCGTGCCTTGTTACGATCTCCTTTTTACGTGTGTGTGTGTGTGTGCGTGTGTGTATGTATGTGTGTGTGTGTGTGTGTGTGTGTGTGTGTGTGTGTGTGTGTGTGTGTGTGTGTGTGTGTGTGTGTGTGTGTGTGTGTGTGTGTGTGTGTGTGTGTGTGTGTGTGTGTGTGTGTGTGTGCGTGTGCGGTGCGGTGCGGTGCGTTGCGGTGCGGTGCGGTGCGGTGCGGTGCGGTGCGGTGTGTATGTGCGTGCACGCTTGCAAATTCGCTTCTCGGTGCCTCCGACTAGATTTTTCGTCGTTGGTGCAGCCAACTCTGCCCCGCCGCCGACGAAACAAGTTTAAGAGTGTGTGTGTGTGTGTCTGTGCTGAGCGGGCCCGGCTTCCTCCTTCCGCCGTCGCCAGGCGCCTCCTCCTCCCCCCCCTCTGCATGGTGGCCGAATTCGCATTCGTTCATTTTCCAATGCGCCACCTCTAGCGCAGTCGCTTTGCTTGGCCGCCGACGCAAAAAGTGTGTGCGTGTGTGCGTGTGTACGTGTGTGTGTGTGTGTGTGTTTGTGTGTGTGTGTGCGTGCGCGTGTGTGTGTGTGCGTGTATGTGTGTGTGCGTGTGTGTGTGTGTGTGTTGTGTGTAGCTTCGCTTCGCCTGCATTCGCATCGCTGTGCTGCGATGCCAACCGGTGGTGTTGGCTGGAGGTCTTCATCTCTTCCTGACACCCGCCCATGGGAAGGATTCGTAGACATTCACCTCCCACCAAACAACCCGAACCCATCCCGAAGGCCCTGATATGCCCTCCATTTCCAGTGTGAGGGGGTTGGGGAACATGGAAAAAACACATATGAAGCCCGTGCCACCGACAACCCGAAATTCGGGTCTTCGGGTTGGGTTGGGGTGGTCTGGTAGGTAGTCAGACATGCCCCAAAAATGTCCCGAGAGCACATGACAAAATATCGAAGCAGGCCCCCAGAGCCCCCCAAGCCGTAAGCACGATGCTCCGCTCAGCAGCCGCTTTCATTCGACTAGGCGTAAGAGTGACCCTTCGCCAGAGCGACCTTGGGCACATTGGGCCCCCCGATCGCCGAACGCGATGCGATAGCAGCGGCTTGCGCGCCTGTGTTTGGTCACCCCGCGGCCCCCGAAAAGCCTTGCATTTGGCGGCCTTCAGAGAGAGACGATAAGTTTGGACATTATTCGAATACACACACACCTATGAAATAATAGGATATCCAGAATATGAACAGTATGGCAACATATGAAATATGCATGCTTGTGTTGTGCTTTGTTTCGCAGTCTATGCACATTGTGTGTTCAACTTGTTTTATGTCCACATGTTTTGTACGCTCATCAATCACATGTCACACTGCGAACCTCAGGGTACCCAGCGCAGCGAATAGTGTACGATCACTTATGCATAGAGCTCAGTAGATGCGCCATTGTTTTGCTGAGCCCGAAAATAGCTCGCCCATAGAGGACCGCCTATGTTATGTGGGTCCACCAATTGGGGGTCGCCCGTACGGGTCTGCCATGCAGGTCCGCCATTCGGGGCCCGCTCGCAGGGGTCTTCCAGCAAGGGTCCGCCCATGGGGTTAGCCCGCGGGGTTCCCCCACATGGGCCCCCCATAGGCGATAGGCCATAGGATTCGCCCATAGGGCCTTAGGGGGGCCCAGACGGAGGAGGAGGAGTTGTGGGGAGGAGGGGGAGGAGGAGGGGGAGTTGGGGGGGAGGAGGAGGGGGAGGAGGAGGAGGAGGCGGAGGAGGAGGAGGAGGTGGAGGAGGAGGAGGAGGAGGCGGAGGAGGAGGAGGAGGAGGAGGAGGAGGAGGAGCAGCAGGAGGAGGAGGGGGAGGAGGAGGGGGAGGAGGAGGGCGGGAGGAGACGCTCCCAGGGTGCCCCCAGTGACCGCGCGTATTGTTTAATATTTGTTAGCATTTTGACCGATTACATTAAAATGAAATACAAAAATATAATCATACAACAAATACCAGATAATGCAAACAATGTACACTCCATTCAAAATAATACGCGTGATCTGGGACCCTGGAGATCGCGCGTATTTTGAGTTTTTTTAGACTCCGGCAAGTTTGCTTGCATGCACTGGGGGGGGGCTGAACTCGAAGCAAGCCACAGGCGACTTGCACGTTGAGGGATGGGGGGGGGCTCCGCGCTTCGCAAATGCAAGGGCGTCTTGTGGGGAATTGACGATACCTGAAGCGATGGGCGTGCCATGTGGCCACCTTTCCGAAGGAGAATGCCTCAGGCGGTCTCCTTGCCTGGACCCCCAATCTGGTGTTATCGGAGCAGTTTGAAATAATTTCTCAGCCTCTCCAGGGGGGGGGGCGCCAGGAAGGATTGCACGGACACGGTCGCGCCCAGGTGCTTGGGATGTCTCAAGCGGTTTGCTTGTCTCGGACCCCAACATCTTGTGATTTCGGAGCAGCGCGCGAGGATGTCACAGGCGAGGCGCTGGCTTTTTCGCAGCCCAGACGTGCGTTCATATCAGATCATGAGGATGTCTCTGAGGATGTACCATGCGAGGCGCTTGCTTCGCATGATCATACTGATGCAAGTTTGCACACGCGCACGCACATGCATACGTACGTACATAGGCGCACACACGCACACACACACACACACACTCTTGCACGCCGAACTTCCTAGAAACAGACGCAGTTCACTCCCCATGCATACACCTTCACAAACATATTCTCACATGTGTAAACACAATTACACATGAACGTACCCTATGTCAGCGCCGCCAGAAGCGATGGAAATACTTCAGGGTGGAGGTCGAGGGGGGAGAGCGAGCAACACAAAGTAATCCAAATCAGCAGGAACGCCTGAGCACCAGAACCATTGAGAGTGCAAATTTGGGACCATGAAACCACAATTTCTGCCAAGTCCATGCCGTTGGGGCTACGACGGCGATCCATTAGGCAGAAGCTGCATTTGACAGAAGACCCATCTTGAACCAAATTCATGCCCCAATGGCGCCTTGCACTTGCACGCGGGGGGGGGGGGCGCGGAAATCAAGCAAGTCGAAAAGCACTTGCACACTCACTTTTTCGGCCCAGTACTGTGCGAATATGAAGCGGGGCGGGGGGGGGAGGGGGCGGGCAATTTGCCATGCAAGTGAATTTGCCTGAATCTACAAAAAACAGCTCTGTTTCGTTTCTGCCCAGGCGGGCACCAGAGATCGCGCGCATCTTGTAGCATCTGCCCTGGCGGCCCCCGGTGGTGCGCCCTGAAGTCCGCGGCCCCAGGACCCAGGCGAAGGAGATCTGGGGAGGATCGAGGTTCGAGGAGCGAGAGTCTGAGGCAGCCCTGTGGCTTCTGGCTCGCTTTATGACCAGGATTTCGATGCGCCGCCTTGCGATGTCGATAGGCCGCCAGGGCGTCGTCGCAAGGGGGCTGTTGGGGTTCGAACGCCCTCTCAGGTTCGAGGGTCCTACCCATTCCCCCTCCTCCTCTGCTTCCTCCCCCTTCCTCTACAGTTACACATTCGATAATTCGTACTACTTGCCTCTCTCCCCCGAGCCTGCGCAGCCAGTCTCCCCGGGCAGCAGTGCGCTCTACGAGCTGATCGGCGAGAGTCGGAGGCTTTTTGCGCTGCGCATTCACGCCTCCCCCGGGGGCCTGGACTGATGTTCAGTTTCGCTTACGTTAAAATCGCATTGAACAATTGATTGTTTTTTGCACATCCATTAAAGTTTGTCCGTGCGTGTTCCTGGCCAAGCGAATTTCGTCTTGCGTAACTAGCTCATTGAGCAAGCCGCCTGTTGTAAAACAAGCCGCGCACCAAATGTCACTCATACCGAGGGTCTCTCCTGGGCGTAGCCGAGACATCCGCGGCTTTCCCTCTCTCCGAGGGTGGCCAGAGGCGGCCACAACCCCAGAGTGCCACCCGCCTCCAGTCCGCAGGCGAGGGTGCTGCGGCGTTGGGGAGGGAGTGAGGGGGGTGATGCCTCCACCGGGGACAATCGGCGGCGAGCGAGGGGGAAAAGTGAGAAGGGGCGGCCACGCCTTCCCAGAAGGCTCGGAATTCCCCAGGCCTTCTCAGAAGTTTTCTAAGCCTTCTCCGAAGTCGCAGACAACATCCCAGAAGGTCCGAGGCCCAAAGGCTTCAGAGAAGCCCCGCCGCCTTCTGAGGAGGCCGTCTGCTTCTCACTTCCCCCCCTCGTTCGCCGCCGAAGTAGGGACAAGGAAGGTCAGGGAGAGGAGCTCGGGCGGAGTACGGTCGGACCGAGGCATCAGATCGAGGTCGGTTCAGGGATGTGTTTCGTGTTTGTTGGATTTTCGTGTGCATCTTGGGGGAGGGTACCATTGGAAGTTCTGTGCGTTTTGGCCGGCGGAGGGTCTCATGTTCTTGAAGGATGTTCTCCCGTCCCAGGTCCGACAGTACCTCCACTAGGGACAAGAAAGGTCGGGAAGAGGAGCTCGGGCAGAGTACTCTGGGCTGCCAGCCGCACAGAGGGCTGGTGGAAGATGCCCCGCTCCACCGCACCATGTTTCTGCTCCGCGTGTTCCGTGACCTCCACTCTCTGTTGCGAGGCAGAGCCGGTGGGTCACTGCTGGGACCTCTGTAGCGGCCGGAACCACAGCGTCTGCGTGCTCCCTGTGACTTAGGCCGTCGGACCGCCGGAGGCGTTCTACTTATTTGTTGGCTGATTGCCAGTGTTACTTGAGGGCCTTCAGGGCCACTTGACGTGGGTGCTGCAGCTGCCTCCGCATAGGTCCACCCGCATCGAAGTATCACGGGCCGCCGGCGCAAGCAACTGGATCCATGTGGGTCCTTTTGCGGAAGCAATTCGAATGGAATGGTGCAAGCGAATGCCTTCGGGCACCCAACAACTCTTTCGCGCTCGCTCGCACATACCATGATCCCACCGCGCTGAATGGTTACCTCCTCTTCCTGCGGCCCTTCGGCTCAAGGGTCGCAGTGATCGTCCACGGTGATCGTCGCGATTTTGCGTCAAGGTACGGCGGAGCTCGCCATCTTCCTCCTCCTCCTCCTCCTCTTCTTCCTCGTCGTCGTCGTTGTTGTCCGAGGCTCTGTTCTCCGCTGCCCTTGTGGCTCAGGGTGGCGCGGTGATTGTCCACGGCGACCGTCGCAACTGCGTTCAAGCCATGGCGGAGCTCGCCGGCTTCAATGTGAACCACGGTTTCATCGAGGCGGTCGTGCGAGGTCTGCGCACGGGCTTCCTCGAGCCCGAGGACTACAGGCGCCTGGCCACATCAGACTCCCTTGAAGACTTGCGGAGCGCCCTGGAGGAGACCGATTATGGGAACTTCCTCCAGGACGAACCATCGCCCCTTCTCGTGTCGACGATCTCCAAGAAGTGCTACGAGAAGCTCGCGGATGAGTTCAGGTATGTCAGGGCTCAGACCGTCGAGCCGCTGACGACGTTCTTGGACTTCATCGCGAGGGAGAAGATGATCGACAACATCGTCGTGCTCATTCAGGGCGCCCTGAACAACAAGGCCCCGAAGGACCTCGAGGACAAGATCCACCCGATCGGCGCATTCGACAAGGCTGCCATGAACATGATCATGTCGGACTCCTTCGACCCGCAGGGTGGCTTCGACGACATCTACCGGATATTCCTGCAGGACACTCCGATCGGACCGTACTTTGAGGAGTTCCTGGCAGAAAAGAACCCGGACAAGGAGGACCCGCAGAAGGGCCTCGACAAGCGCGGCATCCTCAGCAAGCAGGATTTGGAGATCATGAAGGGGCTGCTGAAGAAGGCGTGGCTTGAGGACTTCCACAAGTTTGTCCTGAGCTTGGGCGGCACCACTGCCGAGGTGATGGGCGACATCCTCAAGACGGAGGCAGATTTCCGCGTGCTTCTCGTAACGCTCAACGCGCTGAACACGCACCTCAGCACCGGCTCGGAGGGCGCGCTCAAGGACCGAAACGATTTGTGGCCTTCGTTCGGCTACCTGTACCCCGAGGGCCAGAAGGCATTGGGAGTGGCGTTCAACGAGAGTACAGTCCGGGATTCCTTGAGCCACCCCGCCAAGTATTTGCAGCTTTTCGACCAAGTGAAGTCGTACTACGGTGCTGAGGCGGAGCAGGCTGCGAAGGGGCACCAGTCGATGGAGGACTTGATCTACGCCGAGAACGTGAAAATGTACGAGATGGCTTTCGAACAGCAGTACCATTTTGGCATATTTTACGCCTGGGTGAAGCTCCGGGAGCAGGAGATCCGCAACATCCGTTGGATCGCGAACATGATCATCTTGCAAACGAAGGATCACATCGATGACACGATCGTGCCCATCTTCCAGCCCCGGCTCTAAGGGACACGCCCGCTGCTACCACAGTGCTTGCGCAGCGCAGTCTTCTTAGAGTACGGTAGCCATGGGGAGCGCATGCGGTGAAGGTTGATGGGTGTTGTAGGGCGACGGAATATGTGAGTATCCACGGCTCAGTCCTGGCCCGTTCTGGGCTCAGGGGTCGGTGTGTGTGTGTGTGTGTACGCCCTCCTGGCCTGGCGAGAAATGCATGTACACCACTCCTGGGCCTCGGATTGGTCAGGCCTGGGGCAGTGGATGCGTATAGACTTCGCTGCCCTATGTTGGAGGCTACTCCGTGTTGGGGTGAAGCCAGCAGCGCCGTACCGCCGAGGCTCGGGGTGGTGACGGCCCTCGTCTCATCGAGCGACGTCCAGGCCAGCGGCCTCAGGCCGCGGGCCTTTTTGCAAGCAGCTCGGAGCCCCTCGCGTGGCGAGGCAGTGATGTCGCGATGGATTCAGGCGCTCCTCTGAGTATCGATTAGCCGTGAAATTTGAGCCTTCCGGTCCTTGCTCTCTCTCTCTCTCTCTCGTTCTCTCTCCGCCGTCCTCCATCTCGCCCTCCGCCTCTGAAGGCCCAGACCTCCAGCATGGATGTTTCTGTTCCGCTAGTTTGGACCTCTGGAGGCCCGTTCTGGGCCCCGACCTTCGAACACAACTCGCGACGGAAATAGCAGAAACAAGCAAAACAACTATGAAGGAGCGAGGGGAGCATAGCAGGGCGGGGGGGCGGCCAGAGGAAGGGCCATGGTGGGGTGGGCCCGAAGCTCTACGCTCCCGTGCAAGCCCTGCCCCTGAAAGCTGCCGCCAGCAGCCGTGCGTGTGTTCAGGAGCGGGCACCCGCATCGGCGTCGCGGACAGTCTGGGCGAGAGCTGTCGTTGGGTGGAGCCACTGAGAACATGTTGGTATTTGAGCTGAGCTGTCTTGAAATCCCGAGCCCAAGCTCGAGCCCGAGCTGGGAACCGAGCCCCACTCGAACCCGAGCCTGACCCCGAGCCCCAGCCTGCGCCCGAGCCCGAGCCCGAGCCCGCCCGAGCCGGGGCCTGGGCCACACCCGCATTGGGGGATCGAGGTCTAGTGCATCACAGTTGGCACTGTCGCAGGCCTAGAGGTTGACACCAACACCAATATCGGAGGTGTGCCCCTCCACCGAGGGAAGAAGATCCCGATCCCGGTGACGGTGGTCTGTTCAATTTCTGGGGGTCGCCAGGTACTTCTCTCCACATTGTGAGGCGCTGCGTTCGACCAAGTGGCCTCGTCCGTCGATCGGGGGGCAATCTGTCAGTGGTCCCGAGTTCCATCCTCTCCCACTTCTCAGCGAACTCAAGCCCTTCCTGGTTGCCAGGAACAGTTTAGCGACTGAGACATCCCCTGAAATAGCCCTTCCGTGCTATCAGGATCAGTCCAGCGACACAGTCACCCGCTGGAAGAATGGAGCCTCTAGCCTGCTCGGCACCCCAGGCATGCGTTGAGAGCTGCCCAATGTTCATCATGTACTTCCGTGCGCCGTGAAGCCCAACAGTGCCTGGCTAGTCTGGGAGCAAAAGGTCCAACGTTACCAGATTTGCTGGCGCATGGTCCAATCGAAAGGTTTGGCACTGCTTCTTGTCAAGATGTCAGAGCAACTCGCTGTGGCGTCTACCCCCTGCCCGTCCTCCAGGGAGGTGCAAGGGAGAGCGGAAGCACTCAGCATGCAAGACGAGTCAACGTCTTGTTGCCATCCACAGTTCTTTCCCCGACCGAGGCGGCCGAACCCAGAACAGTTGTGCGATCGATCGATGCGACTGTGTGTCGCACACCTGGTCATCCTATCCCCTTCTCCTGCCAATCCTGTCCCAGCTACTTTTAGTGCAATTACTCTTGCAGTAGGCACGTCAAATAAGACACTGGTCTGCCAGCGGGTGCCGGACGGACATTTCTTCTGCTCCGATGGCCCCGTGGTGCCCGATGGAGTCTCGAGGCACCCTAGCAAGTTCAAATAAAGAGGGCCTTTCATATTTTTTGTGCCAAACGCTCCCGCCATGTGCATATGCTGTGTTCTCACTCTTGCTGCTTCTCCCCCTCCTCCTTCTACGGGCCGCCCGAGAGGTAAGAACAGCCCTAGCTTTGGAAGGGTACCCTGACGCTCTTCGCGGCAGGGCCCTCCACCATGGAGCCCTCTTCGTTTGGGGCGTCTCCGTGCGGTCTTGGGCCCTTCGGCGAATGAGCTCTCATGACCCAGATCTGTCGTTGTGCCTACGTTTCAGGGTCCACTTTGATCCGATCGATTTGACTGGGTGCGGTGTTCGGCCCTCCCCATACGCTTCGATCCCGATCTTCCGTCGATCCGATGCGGCGCCGACGCTTGCATGGCGCTGTCGTCCATCCTGGCACAGCCGATCCGATATGATCTCGATTCCGTGCCGATGCAGCCCGATCCGACGCACGATCCGATCCGATCCGAGCTCCCCATCGGATGCTCACCGATCCTGCCCTCTGGCCACACCCACCCCCCTCGCGAAGGGGCCCCCCTCCCGAAGGCCGCAGACCGCGAGGAGGCACGGCTCCGAGCCGCCGTCGACGCGGCCTTCAAGGCCCGCGCCCCCCCCCCCCCCCCTGAACGGGGATGCTGATGCGACAAGATCAGGGACAACGATAGGGGGGGACAGGCGTAGGGGGGATGCATCGACCCCCAACCGCCCATTGATCGCCGATATGGGGCCCGATAGCCCACGCCTGCTCAGGAAGGTGCGGATTCGCTATCGGGGGCCTATCGCCGATCTATCGGCGGTGTATCGCCGATTCCAGGTCGATGCATCCCCCCCTGTGCCAGTTCCCCCCGTATCGTTGCCCCTCACAAGAAGAGCCTCGAAAATGCGTTGCGCAGCTTGCTGATATGCTCGCGTTCTGAGTATGGGTGGCGCTGCGCGCGAAGAACTTGCTGACGCTCCCCTCTCCAATGTCGGCCATCGTGGACGAGCCGAATCGCGCCAGCCCAGACCACGTTTCACCATGTTTCGACATTGAAGTAGGCGACGTTGGCGTGGAGGCCATGAGGCTCCCAAGAAGGCCCCAAAGCAGATCAAGACGCCTCCAAGACGGCCCAAGATGTCTCCAAGAGGCCCTCGAGGAGAGCCCGAGGAGGCCACGACCAGTGGTTTCCCTTAGGTGGCTGAAGGATGTTGAGGTTCTGGCATGGTTCGGTTTCCGCCCGCCCGTGACAGCCCACGGGGCTTCTTTGTGCCGTCTTGCTGCTCTCTTGGAGCGCTGCAAGGCCGTCTTGGGGCCCTCTTTGGGAGCCCCTTGGGCGATCTTTGGGTCCTCTTGGGCCGACTTGGGACCCTCGATGACGCGTGCGCCCCCCAAGACGTTGCACCAGCCTAGGCCTCTTGGAGCTCGCTCGGGCCGTCTTGGGGGCCTCTTGGGCCGTCTTGCGACCCTCTTGGGTTATCTTGAGCCGCCTTGAGGCTCTCTTGAAAGGCTCTTGAGCTGTCTTGTGCCATTTTGAGCCGTGTTGTTGTCGTCTTGATTGCCTTGGTAGCCGTCTTGGAGGCCACCTTGGCCGTTTCAAGACCAAAATGACCGGGCCAAGCCGATGACAGAAGGGCGCTTGTGTTGGGAACGTGCGCGGCGAGGGGGGAGTCCCTTGAAACACTTTACAAAGCCTCGGTGCACGCTTTGCGCAACCCCACCAGATTATCGAGAAACGATGCCCAGGAGAGTTGCCCTAACCAGGGATGTGGAGAACAATGCAGTTGAATAAAGGGCTGGCGAAGCCGTCATAGCCCAAGAGGGGCAGGATGGATGAGTCATCGGATGAGGAGGGGAAGGAGGGGAAGGGGGAGGCGTAGGGAGGAGGAGGAGGAGGAGGAGGAGGAGGAGGAGGGAGGAGGAGGAGGAGGAGGAGGAGGAGGAGGAGGAGGAGGAGGAATCGGCGGGTGATGAAGATGATGAGGATGAGAAGGGGCAGGAGGAGGAGGAGGAGGAGGAGGAGGAGGAGGACGACGAGGAGGACGAGGAGGAGGAGGAGGACGACGAGGAGGGCTTGCAGAAAAGGGCAGAGGCCTCTTGGAGAACCTCAGGAAGTTGTTAAGGACCCCCCGGGGTTATTCGTAGCACCGCACCGTTATGAATTCATAATTCGTTCCAGGGGGGCATTTTCGCCGAACGATATCCTTACACCGCGCGATATGGCTAAGGGCAAGAATGGCTGTGGGGGAAGAGGAGGAAAAGGAGGAGGAGGAGGAGGAGGAGGAGGAGGAGCCCTGTTCCTTCCTGGCGGCCCCCTGTCAGGAGGGTGCGGGACGTGTTATCCTCTTGGGGGTCTATTGGGGGTCTTTGGGGGATCTTTTGGGGGCCTCTTGGGGCCTCCTCTGCGCTTCTTGGGGCATGTTTGGGCAATCTTTGGGAGCCTTGGGGTCCATCTTAGGGGCCATCCTGGAGGAGATCGATTAGAGAGGTGGAGGTGCTTAATTAGCCCCCCCAAGGAGGCTAAAATGTGGTCAAAACCTTAGTAACATGAGTTTAGCCTTTTCGCCGAGGCCATCTTGGACGCTCCGACGACTCGCGAACCTTCCGTCCAAGTGCAGGGGGAGGGTTGAGGGGAGGGGTAAGCGCCTCCCCGAAGGGGAAGAAGGGGGTTGCAAGAGGACCTCCACTAAACCACCAACGCCCTAAAGGGCCGGTGCCATTTGCGTATAGCCCTTCGTTTTCTTGTGCGTTCCGTCGTGTTTGGCTCAAGCATTTAAGTTCTTCAAGCGACCGCCACACGTGAACACATCACTGCTATCCTTCGCTTGTAACAGAAATACCATGTTTTCCATCACTGGCGGCTGGAGCCAGCTGCCCGCGCGTAGCAGGTCGTCGCTACCGCCCTGGAGGCGCGACTATCCCGGACCGCGGACCGTGGCCCGATGTCAGCCACATGGCTGTCCTTGTAGCGCATCGGCTGGACCAGACCCAGGGTCCACACCGTCCAGTCCGACTTGAGCGCGCGGTCCAAGAACGCTGAGTGGCCCTGGCGCCCCCGTGGTGCCGCGTGGTTTTGTGGGGGCTCGCGACCGTTGCTCAAGTCCGACGTTCACCCTTCGTGGCCCGTCGGTCCTGAGTGGAGTTCCAACGCACACACACACACACGGCCCGTCGGTCCTGAGTGGAGTTCCAACGCGCACACACACACACACACACACACACACACACACACACACGCACGCGCGCGCGCACGCACGCACGCACGCACGCACGCACGCACGCACGCACGCACGCACGCACGCACGCACGCACGCACGCTCGCGCACACGCACATGCACTGGCACACGCATGCGCGCATGCACCCACATTCGCACCCTCGGACCACCATTACCTGAGCGCCGAGACCTTGAGCCCGCGCCCTGGAGGACGAAATTAAGGAAAACGCCCGGATTCAAAAGATCAGATCGTCGGATGTTCGTGTCGTTTTGGCCTTGGGTGCTTACTGGCCCCAAGACCGGCACTCCGAAGAGGCTCCCCCGCAGGTAGGTCCGCGGGCAGGGCGTGCCACTCAGCCTTGATTGTGCATTGGAACATCCCGAGGAAAACGCCAGGATTGAGCAGATCAGATCGTCGGATGCTCGGGTGCGCGGCTGGGCGCGTGCGCTCCCTGACCGCCACCCTGACCACCACCTTGATCATCATTCTGACCATCACCCTGACGATCACCATGCCCCCCCTTGACCATCACCCTGCCCCCCCCCTGCCGATCAACTGGGTACGGTAGATTCGCGTCGTGTCGACCGGCGGCGACCCCGCCGCCGGCGTTCAACGTTGAACGCCGCCAGCCACCCAGAATCGGTCGATGCTGAACGATGTAGCGTTTCTGAAACGGCCGATCGTTCAAGGCTGAACGATCCAGTGTCAGAAACCGGCGCCAGGGTTGGCACGACACGGACCCGCCGCACGCGGCCCTGGCCATCACCCCCCCCCGCCCCTGGCGCCCGCGAGGCCCGGGACGCGGAGTGCGAAGTCTCGTCGTGCCTCGCACCCTGGTCTGCCTCCGCAGCAGGCGTGCCCAGAGCGCGAGAGGTGCGCGGCGGGGTAGGGCGGCGTGCACCTGGCTCCGTGTGGCGCGAGGGAGGGGGGAGAGAGGGCGACGGCAGCCCTGGCGAGCCCTGCCCGGGAGGCAGCCCGCCGAGCCCCCCCCCCGCCCCTGGCGCCCGCTAGGCCCTCGCGCCGCGCGCCGGGCGGGCGGCCCGACCGGCGAGGGGGTCGAGCCCCAGCCCGGCGCCCGCGAGGCCTCGGCCCGCCACTCGCCCCTCCTCCGCGGCGGAGAAGGAGGAGGAGGAGGCTCCGCCTCCTCCTCCTCCTTCTCATTCT